CGAGTGTTTAGCCGTTGTATCTTTGGGGGCATTACGCACAGACCCGTCAGCACTATACGGGGCATATTTGTCTTGCGGAAAGATTTCAATCGCCTCGGCTCTAATCTGTCCACATTCGAGTTGTATTTTTCATTTCTTCTTTTAGTTCTTCTTGTACGAACTGAACATTTCAGTCAGTTCATAGGTTCCCGTTGTAATTTAAACACACATTGTGTAACAAGTTCGCGGGGAAGTACGGATTTGGCTCCTCTTATTCTGAGCCACTTCGTGGATTGGGATAATGAGCCCGGGAAACCGGTTTAGGAAACTTGGGGAAACCCCTCGAGGTTAAACCTAGATCATCTCGTCCGGAAACCTCGCTTGGAAAGAGAAGCTCACGAAAATGAGTTCGTGAGAGTTGAAAGGATTAGGCTCCTCTTGGCTCGGTTAGTCTTCTTGATAAACCGGGTTAAGGAGTATGGAAAACCGGCCTAGAAAACTCGAGGACAAGCCCCGAGGTTAAACCTAGGTAATAATTGTCCTAACGGCTCTCATTTGGAAAAAGTAGCTCATTTAAAAAAAAAATAAAGAAAAAAAATTGAGAGTTGGCTTATTACTCTCATGCTTATCATTTCATGTTTAGTAGACCATTATAAGTTTTTGCACGTGTATGTAGACGAGGGAGTTTGAATCGAGTAATCATGTGTAGAATAACTCGGGATGAGTTTTTGTTTTGTATGGATTCGCTATGTGGGGACCGTGTCTCGGATTGGATTTTGATTTTTGGGATAACCGGATGATAATGAGAGTTTATTTCTCGTGCTCGTTAATTTTGGACCGTTAAATTTTTCTTTTCGAGCTACTTGTTGTTTTGTTTGCTTGAGGACAAGCAAAGAGTTAAGTGTGGGGGAGTTGTTTATTGTGTTTTTGTGCTTATTTTCGCATGTTTTATATGCTTGAGTTTAGTATTTTTAGGTCCGTTTTAGTGTCGACCGGTCTATTTTATCGTGTTTTGTGTATTTTTGTTATTGTAGAGTGTTTTTGTGTTTTTGCGCGTTTTCTCTTTTGTTTTAGTGTTGAATAGGTCCAACGTGTCGAGAACGAGGAGACGAGCCGTACGATCCGACTGAGCTGTCCAACCCGGAAAATTTGATCAAGCCATACCGGGACGAAGATAATTCAATGAGAAAAATTTTGGTCCAAGTTTCGTGCGAATCGGAGTTGTGTGCGAAAAGTTAGAGCGAATCGAGCATCAAAAGTCAAGTCAATGCCAAATCCCGCGCCAGCGAAATCCATTCCGCGAGATACACTCAACTCGCGAGTTCTCAACATGCTGCAGAAGCCGAATTCCGCGCCCGCGAAAATCCTCACCTAGCCCGCGAATCACCTCTACCTCGCGAGTTTACCTTTGCTAGCGGAAATAGCCCGCGAAAATCAAGATTTAGCTCGCGAGTTTTCTCATTTAATGTGTGTGTTTTAGTGTGTGTTTGTAGTGTAGCTATAAATAGACATTATGCTTTGTATTTTTGGGAGAATTCCTCATTTTGCTAAATTTTCCTTTTTAGTTTTTGCTCTCTTCTCTCTCTAGTTTTCTTTCTCTCTCTAAGGGCTCCAAGACCCTATTTTTATTGTAATATTTCTCCATCAAGATTACAACTTTTTGGCTTATTTCTTCTCGTGGATGCACTAGAGACTTGGATACTTCGTTTAAGGTTCTTGATTTCGTAAGTCTTGCTCGTATTTACTTATTGAATTTATTCTAGGGTTAAGATTGGCACGTCCATGTGTCGATTATGCTATCATCCTCGTAGGCTGAGGATTATGTGATATTGTTATTGATTGCGTGAGCGCGAATTGATTGAGAGGTTAATTGATCACGAGTGACTTTCGCTTGGTTCCATATTCCCGAACCTTCGAGTGCCTTCTTTCCATCTCGGGTCTAGGAGTACCTTGTTATTTTTCTCTTTATTTTCCTTTTTCTTGCAATTTGAGGACTTGCTTGCGATTAATGTTGAATATTGCCCTCGTTTAGTTTAAATTGCGTTCTTAGCTTAATCCAAACCCCAAATTGCGAGTAGAGTGTTTAGGATTTTATTTTATTTTCTTGTGTGAGTCAATCGTTGTTTGAATCCGTGTCCGAATAGTCTTCCTTTGAGAATGACCCGAGTTCGGGTAACTCGGTTACCAACTACCCAATAATACTACAAACACTACTACGTACACTTGCGGATATCTGAATAATTAGCAAACAATCTGGAAATAAGGTCATTCTCGATCCAGATCTGGACTCTGAGGAACTCCGACAACGTGAAAAGAAAGGGGAGCCACCAAGAACACACCGGAGGGCTTGAGACTAGGACCCAAGGAAGCCCACATAAGGCTATTGATCGCAGTTGTGCGGCTTGACGAACAGGCGGCACAACCGACGACCACAACCTCTAAGGTTAAGAACAATCGCGCGTGAGAACGAAACTCCAGCAAATCGGTGGTTTCCTTCGACTACGGGC